TGTGAAAATGTTCTCCGTCAAGGGGTTGAAAAATACAGTTGTATGCAGGGTTTAATGGGTTAGAACGTAATTTTGTAAATATATGTACTGATGCGATAATTTGATACGCCGTTGCTCCAAAGATTGTTCATCAGCTTCAACCTAGCGGCTATCCACAGGAGATGCGCGAAGACAGAGTCTTAGGCCCTGATGGTGAATTGAATCTAATTTTTGTAAATTGCTCTTACAGGCTCCACCATAAACGATGGAGCCAAAATCTAATTTAAAGCAAAGCAGAGACCTATACAAGTGGAGGAGTCTTTTCTGATCACCTCCCCACTTTGTATTAGCAACAACTTTCAACAAATCTAGAGCCTTCAGGCATTTAGTTTTGAGATAATTAATATGTGGCCTAAAAGTCAAATGATGATCGAAAATGAGACCCAGGAACTTGGTCTCTTCTACAACCTTGATGGGAGTGCCATGTAAAAATAGCTCTGGATCTTTATGATTCTTGTATTTCCTACAAAGTGAATACAATTGATCTGAGCTTTTGAACACTTAAAAGCATTTTCGAGACACCGTTTGAAGATTTTGTTGAGACATAGCTGCAACTGTCTCTCGATGGTATGTATATTTTTTCCACGACATGAACTATTAAAATCGTCCACAAATAGGGAACCATCAATCGAATTATTTAAAACCTTTGACAGACTATCAATTTTTATACTAAACAGTATTACAGATAAAAGAGTGCCTTGTGGAAAAACCCTTATCCTGTTAAAAAAGCTCCCATTGCAGTATCGTGCGCTTGACCTAGTGCAGTATTTAGCTCGAGGGGCGAAAAAACCTCATTACAATCTTCTCCATTTGGAGAAGTAAAATCAACCCTCTTCTTTTCCTGTTGTTTCTAATATTTTTTAAACTTCGGATCATAGTTCGATGATGAAAAGTGTTTGGTCAGCGTTTCACCAAAGTAATTTGCAATGTCAAATTTATCTGTTAACAGATGGACACCTTCCTTGAGATGGTGGACAGTCGATTTTGATCATTTTGCAATCATGTTCCACACCTTGGATATTGGTGTGCGATAATTCATTTTAGTAACATAATCCCTCCAGGACTTACGCTTATTCTGTTTGAATGTACCGCGTGCCTTGACATTTGTGATTTTAACATGATCCAAATTATGTACAGTTGGATGTCGGCTGAAATATTTCTCCGCTTTTTTCCTGCACTTCCTAGCCTGTTTGCACAAACCATGGTTTCCAAATGTGTGGATTAGCAGAGGACTTAGGAATGGTTATATCAACACTTTCATTCAGCTTATCCGAAAACGATTGAATAGGGTCGGTAACATTCCTGAACATATCGGGTGTTAATCTAATCTACATAGTTCCTGAAAGGAAGGCCAGTTGGCCTTGGTGAAATTCTGATCATGTATGGACTGAAGATCCGATCATTGAAGCAAAGAGGAGTGAGTGAGTGAGCGGGATTTAACGCCGCTTTTAACAGTATTCCAGTTATATCACGGCGTGTCAGCTTAATGTGGGAGGAAAGCCCTAAGTGATGCAGGTCTCAGATGTTTACCACTTTGGTGAAACCCACGAGCGGGGGTATGGTGCTGACAAACCTAGAAACATAATCGGGGCGATCGAGATTCGAACCCACAATCATAGGTTTCTGGCGTGCCCAAGGGACGCAACTCTGCACAGCGAATCGAGGCGCCTTAGACGACTGGGCCACCCGTGTCCCCGAACACAGAGTAAAGGTTATATGTAAAGTTAGTTTCACTACAACAGCTTGAAGATGAGTTTGAAGTGAAACAGGACTGTGGATCACTCCCTGCTTCACCAAAAGAGTGGATCCCCCAGTAGGTTTAGCACAGAAAAATGAAGAAAATGAATGATAGGAACTGTACCGACACAAATTAAAGGTGTCTGACAGTTTGAGACGTGTCTCCTGGAGACAGATTGCGGATGGCGCAAAATCTTGTATTAAAAGTTGTAACTCGTTAAAATTGGTCCTGAGACCTCATCAATTCCACTTAACTTGTGGAGTGGAAAGATTCATGTTACTGGTGGATGAACAGGAGATCTATGTCTCTCATTTCACGGCGACTTATTTCTGTTGCGCCTTCGAGAGTGTGGAGAGACATCCATGTCCTCCAAAGTTTGATATCGAGTATAAATTTGAATAGGTTCACGGTGACCCTTTGATACACGATCTGATTGTTTTGAGTAGCTCTTTTAACAGGGGTTGGTTTTGTTGACGGTCCTGGCACTGGTGCTAATGTTGGCATGGGTGCTGTCGACACTGGAGCTGATGGTGATATATCACCTGTTTAGGATGATGAAGTGGATAGTACAAAAGAAAAGTTTTCTATAGAGACCCAAGTAATATCTTGTCTGGCATTCAACAGAGACAACAGATTTGGCAGGGATACTTGTCACAGCTGCTGAGTAGGACACAGCTGAGGTTGTAGAAACAGAAGCCATGATCAAACGCTTGGCTTCGGGGAAGGTTATATTCCTTATTTCACTTTCACAATCTGAAGTTGAATTTTGGACAGGACTTCGAAGAAGCCACATGGTCACCAGAACAGTTTGTGCAATGAGTTTTTTTTGTATATTTTGAATCGGTATTATGATCATCCTCACCACATTGACGACATATCTTGCGACAGTTGCAAGATTGTGCACCGTGCCCGTACTGCTGGCAAGTTTGAAATGTCCCGCTTTCATATTTTTGGGACGAGTTGGCTTTGAAAATATCATGAGGTAAGTATTTGAGTTGAAGATTGCATTATCTCTTTTATATGTGAAACGTTTCACATGTGTCACCCACTGATCTCTCAGTTCATCAGCTATTTCAGTTTCCGTCATATCAGGGAGACAATGTTCCCTGTCTCTGATAATACCTTTGCTAGAATTTAAAGTTTTGTGAGCTGGAATCAAAACTGGAGAAGAAACTAAATGTTTGACAGCTAGTAAAGTTGTTGATTGTTTTGACGTTTTGCACTCAACCAGCAGTAATCCAGACCTAATCTTTTTGACATTTTGGACATCTCCAGCCATGCCATAAAGTGCCTTAGAAATGGCAAAAGGATTTAATTGGTGTAGTATCAGTGGCGGAAACCACTGAAAATCTAGACTAAGTACCCGAAGAACTCTTCAGGATGGTAGTCTCCTCATCTGAGGAATGTTCCAAAGAACGTTTTGGTTTTTTTGGGTTGTGCCATTGTGATGTTGTAAATGATTCATCATCCCAGCTCCCAACCCACCATGGAGTATAACAGGGACAATGCTATAAGCCAGTGGAGCTCCAACTGGCACCACCAAGGATACTGGAATGGTATACTCAAGCAGAAGAATTAAGTAAAAATAATTAGCCTACCAGATTGGCCCATGAGCCACCGCCTTCTGGGCATACCACTCTAGGCATCTGAATGATTTGACAATAAAAAAATCAAGTTTTATTATATAAACATTTGGCCAAGACCTTAAATATAAGTGAATTTTTAATTCAAAGTTCTGTGCATACACAAATTATGCACAAGGCTCGGCCTGATCAGCCGATTGATAGGACCGGACCCATCCTACCACCCGCCTAGGCGAAGTAAGGGTCAAAGTGGTGTATTTGGGCAAAGGAACGCTATTCGTAGAAAAAATGCTCTCAACCACCACACTGGTGCCAGTAAGTGAGTGAGTGAGTATGTTTTTATGCCGCGTTCAGTAATATTCCAGCAATATAACGGCGGAAATGGGCTTCACACATTGTACACATGTGGTATTACTTACAACTAAAGACGTACTTATACTTATACAATATTTGGGTGATTTACACTCCATTTTGATGTATTCCAAAACTGGAAGTTGGACTGAAATGTGTATAATTTTCAAAATAAAAAAAGGGGAGGCATGGACCCCATTTTGTTTTGATGGAAACTTTTACTGCTTGTGGAATGTGTAATGACAAACTAACACCATTTGGGCGGAAATACATTTCACCAATCTAATGTTATTCCTTTGATCAGGGGACCAAGGGTGCAGAGTTGTGTCCCTTGGATATAAACTATGTCAGTTGCCAACCTTAATACATGTAGGTAATGGCTTGGAAATACACAGTACACGCACTATTCTAAACATATATACAACAATGGGCAGAGGTGTATTTGATATTCCCTGGATATAGACATCTAATATTGTGACGGACAGTGCACGTGATCATACTGTCAGTTAGTCACAAGGTTCATAAACCAACATAAAAACATGTAATAGACCACAATTAAATTAGAATAACAAATATTTGACCAATAATTCTGTAAACAAACACATGTGAGAATCAGGCCATGGGCTGGAAAGGATAATATCACCAACACATAAATATCAGAGGAAACCAGATGTTGCGGCTCTTCTATGTCATGTGTTGATGTGAAAGTCAATAAACACCCTTACAAGTGTGACATCTGTGTTCCTAACGTCAAATGACAAACAGTCAGTCAAAACGCATACGCTGTCACACACGCTGCAACTAGCAGATCTCCATTGTTCGTGGTCGTTGTTCGTGTTGCTTGAAAGCAGTGACAAAGACACGAAAGGGTAAGTTGACTTTATTCGATAACGTAGCCACATGTTGCCACACGAATCGGTGTTGTGTTTTGCTAATGACACAAAATACTCATCCCGTTAAAAGAAGTTATTGTTTTGTAACCTTTGATTTATCTGCACCACGTATATTCTATTCACAACTGTTACACAGCGAGACCAGTACGTGTTCAGGGTTCGTGGGAGCATTGAATATGATACGGTTGGCTACCTCGTTGCGTTTTGATACTACAAACCGTCATTACGTCCATAAACGTTTGTACACAGAACTTTCCTTCAACGATCCACAACTTCAAGGATGATGCTTCTTAATTGGGCACATACATACATGTATCTTTGAATGAGGCAATGATGCTGTGGGGAAATGCGATCAGTAAGTTGAACAGAGCGATCAAGGACATACAATTGTCATAATTATATTTCAATATAAACTTCTCAAAAGCGTCCGATCGTTACGTTATTGTCACGAATTCGATTCTCCACATGAATGCAATGTGTCATACAGATTCCTCATATCCCCAACGTTATGTTGCTTCACTGGTGCCGAACAAAAGCGTATAACGTAACTCAGGCACAATTTGTGATATCCAAAACAATGAAACTTCATTTCAGGTCATGCCATTTTGCTAAATTTGACAACAAAGCGCGATCTACCATGCTGAACCACTCATCTTTTCAGAAAAAAAGGAAGCAAACTCCGGGAAGATATTTTTCAGAAAGATTGCGTGTTACTTATAAAACGACCATGACTATTCCAAGTGCAAATGTTGATCGTGGATATGCATGGGTGGTGCTTGCTGCCTGCTTCTCTATCGAGGTTCTATATGGCGCACTGATTAGCTCTGTGGGGGTGCTTACACCGGCGATTCTGGAGGAAATTGACGGTGATTTGGTCAAAGTGTCATGGATAGGATCAACTCTGTTAGGGACATTTACAATGTGCGGTAAGTTTATTTCTGATGTTAATGGTTCTACGTTATGCAGTCCCACACTTATACATTAAGGTCAATGACCAGATGCATCAGGTATCACTGTGATGTGATACGTAACACATCTATATGACGGCGGTCTGTAAATAAGACAATCCAGTGATTGCTATCATGAGCATCGATCCACTCATTGGGATACGATGACATGCATCAACCATGTCAGCGAAACTGACCACCCGATCCCGTTAGTCGCCTCTTACGACAAGCATAGTCGCCTTTTACGGCAAGCATGGGTTACTGAAGAGCTATTCTACCCCGGATCTTCACGGGTCGGCACATTTAGTAATTACGTGTCACAGAAGGTCATGACTGCCGCATGACACCGTGCCTTGGCCGATTGTTTATCATCAATTGTTTGTCATCGTACCTCCATGACGTGGTTCGTTCGCTCCTATCCTCAGTCACTGGATACGATGTTCACAGATTATCAATTTACAGCCTAAATATTGCTGACCATGGATTTCAATATTGTTACAAACAATAAAAAATGTATTATCCCTAAAACGTTTTATATCTTAAAAGACACTTTCAGTTAATGCTTTCTTTCAGGACCACTGGCAGGTATTATAGACGGTAGACTGGGACACAGATTGACGGGTATTGTGGGTGGCATCCTGATACTTGTGGGACTGACAGCTGCATCCTTCTGTGGAACTGTCACCGGATTAGTCATCACGTTAGGACTTGTTACGGGTGAATATTGCCATTTTGTAAATGCATAAACAGAAAGCACTTGAATATGATACACAGATTACCAAACATTTGTCTTCAGAAAACGTGGTTAGCGATAGTAAATATATCAGATAAAGATGTAAACGTTCCATGTTCCACACTAAAAGCTCTGCTTCCGTGTCATGAACTACTGATCTGATGAATAAATGTGATATAGAATATCATTGTAAACCTAAATGGCACATGTAGCATGTGTTTCCTGGTGATCTTTGGAAAGAAATGTCTCCACTAGTCAATGATCGTCGAAAGGTCGCCTTTTTGAATATGCACCCCTCTTGAATTAATAATTTACCTCTATCATTAAAGGCTTTGGTGTTACACCAGTCATTAGCTCACCTATTGTCCGTACTTCCTAGTGCCGCCATTGACCACCTCCGTGGTCTAGTGGTAGAGCGTCTGCCCGGAGAGCAGAAGACGTTAAAAGATGCTACTTGTTGTTACCCTGTTTCGCGCTCGGTATTAAGGGGCTACAACGAGGACTGGTCGGCTCGGAGTCAGTATACAGTGTCTGAGTGAGGTATTCATGTTAAACTGTGGAATGCTATCTCTGTGGGCTAGCACTATAAATCGGTATCAGTCCGGACTAGTATAAGCAGCCACGCACACACACACCAACACACACACCAACACACACACACACACACACACACACACACACACACACACACACACACACACACACACACACACACACACACACACACACACACACACACGTGCATGCACGCCGCTATGTCAGTGCAATTATTTTAGACGCGACGTGAACCCCATTTCACTTAACCTCCCTACTAGTGCCGCCCTTTATACTGCTCAATTACACATATATTTTAACAGGTCTTGGATGTGGTCTGGCAGCTATTGTGAGTGGCGTGGCTCCCGGTGATTACTTCAATAAGAGGCTCCCCGCAGCTTATGGTATTTGTATGTCTGGAGGTGCATTGGGACTACTTACAGTTGCGCCATTAACAGTGTTTCTCTTAGACTTGTACCACCTTTCTGGAACGTTGCTTATTTTGGGTGCCATTGGATTCCATGTGTGCTTAGCTGGAACTCTCATAAGAACATCGTCCACGTTGATGCATCAGAAGTCAGTTTCAATTGAACTTGATAGCAAAGACCATATCAAAGAATGTTTGAGTACACAAGAAGACTACGAATACCCTCATGGTGTAGTGAACACTGATTCATTGGCTCAAAGGAGGAGCATTGTCATAATTAGCAGCCCGGACGATGATGACAGACGCGAATGTTCACTGACCGCTGATAATCCAGACATATTTAGTCCCGATGTTCCTGGTAGCATCATGGAAGAAAATTTAGGGACAAATATTACAACCATTGCACCTCTACTAGAACATCAATCACGTGTATCGAATAAACTATGGTGTAGTATTCTAAGGAAATATGTAGCTTTATTTGGTACAAACGGATTCTTCTTGTACATCACCAGTGTTTTTTTCTGGTCTCTAGGGCAAGCAATCTGCATGGTTCATTTACCATATTATGCCGAATTAAAGGGAAGCACATCAACACAGTCTGCAAATCTATTCACTGGAATGGGTGTTACTGCTCTTTTTGCCGGAATGCTGACTGGCTTCGCCTCCTCTGACCCGGCTATTGGAACCAATGTGCTTCACGTTGGACTTCAAGGAATGTTAGGGGTATCACTAATGGTGCTTCCTTTGCTCTCCCATACATACTTTCTTCAAATGGTTTTCAGTGTACTATTTGGTGCATACAGCCAGGGGCCATTTACGTTAGTGAGTCATATATGCATTGAACTCATAGGCCGATCCAAATTGGCATTTGGCTACGGACTGTGGTCTTTTGTATTAGGAATTGGCTACATGGCTGGACCACCCATTGCAAGTGGGTAAACCTTGAATAAGTATTTCTCTGATATCTACTTTGTCAGTATGTTTGAGCGAATTTTGTTTATGCCATGATCACAGCAGTCTATGGATTCATATTTAGTATTGATAGGACCAATACATGCTTGACGGAGTGAGCATCGGCATGATTTTATATATAAACATATATATTGCTTTGGACTGATTCTGCAATATTTATATATATATATATTATATATATATATATATATATATATATATATATATATATATATATATATATATATATATATATTGCTTTGGACTGATTCTGCAAAGTAGTCCTCACTGTACTAGCCTGAGGTATATGTGGCTCATTTCCTTTTGAGTTCCGAAGTATAAGGGTGTGTTTTCGTGCTAGAACATACACAAACATAGTACGTTAAGAAAATGATCGTGTTATTCCTTCTTGTCATTCCGTTAGGCAACATACAAACAGTTACCTTTTTTATGCAGGTTGTGTAGAGGGTGCTCCATGTAGAGCATGTCATCACTGATTTTGAGTGGTCCATCCCTACATTTCTCACCACTATTTAGCCTTTCGTGCCTAATGGAATGTTTCGGCTGAAAATCGAGACTGATTATTCTGTGACGATGACGTCTACATTTGCTAAATGGCATTTGTCTTTCCTTTCAGGTCTCATTTATGAAAGCAGTGGAGTTTATGACTACACGTTTATTTTCGCCGGTAATTCAAATACCATTATTGGAAGTTATAGTATTTAATGGACTTAATGGCATGATTCAACTCTTCCTCGCTCACTCACTATTCGCGTGAAAAAGGTTTATTGTATTATTTCAATCCATATATAACACTCGACATTGGTGTTGTCAAACCATGATACATGTTTGTGGCGCAGTGGCAATTATCACGACGAGGATTAAAACATGGTCACATTGTTAATTTCCTTGCACTGATTTACCCACCTGAACTATGTCTAAAAGAGACTATCTGATCTATCTGCCCCAGCATTTTCATGTTTAGATGTATATGTACAAAGATTTATAATGACAACATACAACATACACAATACCGTAAGTGAAATTACTTAAACCATCCAATAGTGTTCTTTCCCTCAATGCAGAGGGATATATCAGCAGTTCCAGCCTTCAGTGTGTACATTTCACAACTTATGAGGTACAATCGTGCATGCCCAATCCGCGAATATTTCAAAGACTCTTGCTCAAAAGATGCTTGGTCAGGGTAAAGTTTAAAAAAAAAAGTGTCGTGGAAGACATGTGGAGAATATTTCAACATTTGACGCACCAGTCAAAACAAATTATGTCCGATACAATTCCCTATTTTGACTTGTGCCCTATATTCTCGTGTTCCATTGAACACTTGACATTCCCTTGCATGTGTTTGTGAGGATGCCATAGGGGGTACAGGACACGCTCATCTTTTCGCGAACACCTAGTATCCTCACCAGTTGATAGTGATTCACCAACGTATCCTTCTGAATATTGTCGAAATCGTACAATGGACTATGCTTTTAATAGAAACTTCTTGTGATAACGAAATGATTTTTGTCGCTTTTATTTATTAATAATTATTATAAATTGCTGTGAGCCTATCCTTGCCTCTATTTGCAGTTTGCACACATAAACTATTGTGTCTGATATTCAGTGCATAATCTTACTTTCATATTATTTCTCCTTTCAGGATGCTGCAACCTCACCAGTGCCTTTTTTGCCATGTGTATACCTTTATGCAAGAAAAAAACCATGATTTAATGTACATTAAAATCAGTATTATATTCTATAATTAAAGATATTTAATACATTATTTAAGACCTGATTGTATGTTAAGATATATATTTGGACGTGACATAATATTATGTCAACAGTGCTTCTGTAAAAACATTAGTCATCAAGTCTGGACCACACAACGAGATTAATAAAGGATTATAGGTCATTTACGCTACATATTGTGAACATATGAGTGATCACATTTCAACTTAATGGCTGTTGGTACCGATTGAATAATTTGATATGCTTCCAATCATACAAAATCGTTAGAGAACATCATTCTCTAAATATGAAGCATTACCCATAAATATATACGCAGTTCATGTTCGTATATTTATTTGTACACGTGTACCTTACATCACCTATCACGTCCTATGAAGATTCTGGGTTAAAATTGGTCTTTAGTAACCAATGCTTGTCGTAAGAGGCTACCAACGGGCGATGGTCAGGCTCGCTGACATGGTTGATTCACGTCATTGAATCCCTATTTAGTAGGTCGATGCTCATGATCCAGGCGACTAATTACAGACTACCGTCATATATCTTGAATATTGCTGAGTGCGGCGTTAAACAAAAAACAAACATTGCATCGTCAAGTATGATGTGACCAGATACACTACTACACGTTTTGGACCAGAGTGTTGTCATAGATTTATGTTGTGACATGTGCTTGTCACACCATCATTGTGCTGTTTCGAAGCTTGACTCCTGAGGGTTTCCATAGATTCGGTCTCGTTCCATACGGAAGCACATGTCTCTTGGTGTGACTCCTTAGGCAAGCGACCATGCTCAAAGCATGCCTCTGTTCACAAAGCAGTGACTAGGTACCCGGTAGAATGAGATGGCATAAAGTTGAATCTGTTTTGTGTTCTGTGGTCATATTGCTTGTGTTGCTGTCACACAGTTCCTACAGGTGGTGCATAACGATGATCATTTCTTAACAATATAACTATACTGAACCGCAAAAGAAACGTCACCCCAAGTAACATTGCATGAAAAGCTGTTATTTGAATATCTGGGTAATTTTTGTCAAAGTTTCTAAAATTTAACATTAGCTTGTCAGGAAAAAATGAAATTTGATGATAAAAAATCAAAGCAGATGACAATAAAACCGATCGCCCAAACGCATCACGACAACGGCCATGGTAACCCGATGCACGTGAGTTCCGTGCAAATTGAAATACCCCCATTTCTTGCCCTATAAAAATCGACCCAGATCGGATAACGTTCATTCGTTATTGAATTGCTACCACATGCCAAGATTGACAAGAAATCGGCGACACCAAGCCCAAGCCCCGGCAAGTAGCCAATGCATTTCAAGTCCACGTAAGGACCATATACAGGCTCCCGCAACGGTACCAGACCACCAACACTGCCGATGACCGATCACGTTGTGGAAGACCAAGGGTCACCACCCTACGTCAGGATCGTCAGATTGTGCGATAGTATCTTCAAGATCGCTTTGTTACTGCTGCAGAAACTACTTGACAGACAATGGAGACACACCAGCGACACATAAGTGCGGACACCGTGCGTCGACGATTGACGAGCAGACACCTCCACTGTCACAGGCCAGACCGAGGACCCATTCTGACACCACGTCATCAATGCACATGGCGGACACACGAGATACTGACTTGTGATGCAATTTTTTCAGAGACTAGTGTTGTGTTTTACTTTAAGAACATTTGACACTTTAATTTCAACCTTGATGATCAGTTTTGCCAAGTTTCATCTTTTTAACATACTGAACACCAAAAGAAACGCGAATCAAGAAGGTATAGGAAACATGATGTATTTTGTTTCAGCTGGTATAAACATAATAATGATGGATACAACACAATTTATTAGCAATAAGAAAGAGTCAGTTTTCTGGACATCAGACATTTTCTGTATCCATCAACACAACACCACGTGACCATGCTGAAGTCAACTGAAGTATGGGTACACCTAAATACCTGGTATGGCCCCTATTTGCATTCACAAGCGCGACACATCGTCTGTGCATGGAGTGAATAAGACGGTTGATAGTGTTCATGGGGATGTGACGCCACACCTGCAAGATGGTAACCTCGAGCTGTGCAGCTGTCCTTGGCCTCGGACGCGCCATGTTCAAACGTCTCTGCACTTCATCCCACAAGTGTTCAATAGGGTTGAGATCAGGACTAAGAGCCGGCCAGGGCATGGTGTTGATATTGTGCTGTTGCAAGAAGGCTTTAGTAATCCTGGCGGTGTGGGGACGAGCGTTATCCTGTTGAAATTTGAAGTTGCCATGTCTTGCAAAAAACGGTACAACCTGAGGCCTCAACACCTGATCGATGTAACGCTGAGCAGTGACACCATTGCCCCTTCCAGCTCCAGCGTTCTGAAAGATTACAAGGTCAGTTCTCTGATTTAACCCTATTCCACCCCAAACCATGACACTAGGACCACCCCATGAGTTCCGTTCAAGGACACACTGGTCATGATAGCGCTCACCGCGACGTCGCCATACTCTAACACGTCCATCGGCACGATCAACACAATACCGACTTTCATCAGAGAACAGAACTCTTCTCCACTGCTGAAGACGCCAATTCAAGCGTGCTTGGGCCCACTGTAGTCTCATGAGACGGTGACGTTGAGTGAGAACAGGACCTTGTGATGGTCGCCTACACTGAAGCCCTCTGTCACGAAGTCGCCGTCTTACTGTGTTGGAACTTACAGCCCTCCCGTTGTTTCCAACGACGTTCCTAGCAGTTTCACTGGCCGACAGGAAACGTTCTCGCAGATGTGATCTGTGAATGTGACGGTCCTGACGTTGTGTTGTAACACGCGGTCTGCCGGTACGATGACTGTCTCTGGTGCTGTTGGTTGTCTGGAATCTTTCCTGCAGACGGTAGATGGTGGACACGTGGACGTTAAAGGTGTTTGCAACTCTCTGAACACTCTCACCAGCTTGAAGTTGCCCAATAGCTCTCTCTCGATCGATCTGTGACAGTCGTGGCTTTGTCACTGACGTTGATGAGTGAATGATTCACAGTGACACTTTCGTGGCTTTTAAAAACAACATCTTCACGGACAGTTTTTGCGGCATAAGCAGCACGTGCATTTCGTGTGTATCCATCCCACACTGACTTCAACGTCGGTGCGTTTGAGCGCTGTGGATTAAGAGTTCACTGCCCTTAACTCTGGTTAGGGTCATTTTGAAACAATTAAAGCCCATTACAATGGAACCATAGCAGCCAACTGTTTTCGCAACCATTTTCCCATATTAAATAGGAACTTGACGATTTCGCGTTTCTTTTGGTGTTCAGTATATATTTCAAAGTATGTTTACAGTGTTTGGACAAATAAGGTTTCTCATATATCTATCCATGGTGACGTTTCTTTTGCGGTTCAGTATATATATTCACACACAATTCCTGATTCGCCCTGAATATGATTCAAGAATGTTCAGAACCTTACTCATTCTTTTGGATTTCACCATCCCACTGATATTAAGTTGACACTCTGTGATATACCTGTGTTGAAAGTGTTCAAAACGGGCTTCAAATCCAGCATACTCACATGCCCACCCAGTGACAGGAAACAGATAAAAATGACTTTTGATGAAATGCCAAATATTGGATGAGGATGAATCAAAATGTATTACAAGTTATTTATTACTTCTTTAAGAGATGCATTATTTGTAATTTAATGTGGATAGACCATTTTTCAAAAAGGAAAAAAAGAAACCTGCTTTGAAATGCAACTTGCACAGCTGCCCATTCATAAACATATAACATGTCAGGTATGGATACACTTCGTCCAAATTACACCAAATTTGATACACTCACGCTACTAGCAGTCGGGGTTCCGGGGAGGAATATAGTCGTAAAAGGCGAACTGAATGGATCGGGTGGTCAAGCTTGGTGACTTGGTTGACGGCATATCATCGTATCGCGTGGATCGGTTCTCATGATGTCAATCACTGGATTGTCTGTTTCAGACGCGATTATTTACGGACGGCGGTTATAAACGCATAAGCCATATGTTCCACTTTCATGTTCGAACTTAAAGGGGAAGTGTACACGCAAAAATCACTTTCTTTCTTTTTCTAAACAAAACGCAATTTTAGAATTAATTAGTATCTGTGTTTGAAAATATACACTCATTTTTTTCACAGTGAAAGTAGGAAGCTCACAATAGTGTGAAAATGATATGCCGTTATGAGGCCTTCGTTTTTCGAGCTAAACAGGCCTGAGTTATCCCCCTTAGATTATGACGTAATTGGTGCCAATTCAACTGGGTCCCTGTCTATTCTCAACGCAAAAGATATCAAGTACCAGTTTGCGGTAAAACAACATGGCCTACGACACACTCCGGCGCAGTGGTGACTCAGCATCACACTATGCTGGCTGGCATCTGAGACGCTAGAATCACACACCTAGACCTACACCACGTGAAGCGGCTCTAACAAAGCATGATGACGTCATAATGTTTATCAATTGGCACCAATGACGTCATATTGCAAGGGGCATAAGCCATGGTGTTTTTGTTGTGGAAATAGAACACTTGGTAAATGTGAAAAATATAAATCGTTTTAATGCGAAAAATATGTTAATTAATTGTGATATTTTTATATTTTTGTCTATGACACTTCTAGGTTAACACTTTTAATGTGGAAAAAGTACAAGAAAAATAGGTTAATTTCCGTGTGAACTTGCCCTTTAACTTTACTGTGCCCAGTTCATCAGTATGGATGTGGCATAAATGAACTTGGACATAATCAAGCATATACATTGTATATATTTTGTTTTGTTTTGTTTTGTCTGGTTTGGTGTTTGCAAAAGTCCAGCTATATGACGGTGGTCTGTAAATAATCGAGTCTGGACCAGACAATCCAGTGAGTGATATCATAAGCATCGATCCACGCAATTGGGATCGATGACATGCATCAACCAAGTCAGCGAGCCTGACCACCCGATCCCGTTAGTCGCCTCTTACGACAAGCATAGTCGCCTTTTACGGCAAGCATGGGTTGCTGAAGACCTATTCTACCCCGGATCTTCACGGGTCTCATTGTATAAGCATTCCATGTAACTATTTTATGGGATGCCAGACAAATGCTGTGAGTAGCGGATGCTACCGGTAGACATCTTGCTTAGACTCTTCGCGTCATTGCCACCGCGAAGAGAAGTCATGCAAGACGCGTTATACCGAGGATGGAATCTATCATTACTGTAACATAAGTCAACAAGATTCGAGATTACGTCATGTTGATAAACATGACTGCATTCTTTTCTTTTTTCAGGTGACCGGAAACATGATAAGCGTGGATACATATTCGCTTTGAAGCAGACACCTTACACAAAGGTGTGCAATTGGTGACCACGTCCACACCTATTCTATGCCAGCGTGAATGCCGTACATGAGACCGAACAGCGGGGATTTACTGTTCACAGTAGGAGGATACGTCCCTCCAACAAAACGACAAGGATAGGAGGGGTAAGTTTCTCTATGGTAATACACAACAAAGTCATGCCACTGACCTAGGTATTACGTGAGACACATACTGAGTCTGCTTGACATACATGAACACCTGCACTGACAGCCCACAGTTACAAGTGTGTGTTAAATGCAAACAAAGTCTGTAAAGCCAACAATGTACTTTATGTTCATCAGATATTCAGGGTCACTGTGACCTATACATGCGCTGACAGCACTGGCTACAAGTGAGGTGGTGACAGCTTTCAAGGCGCACATGTAAAGCAAACGACGCACTTAATGGGCTACGGATATCCAGGGTCATTGTGACCTGTGCCTGCGCTGTTTCGGTTTCATGTTGTTTAACGCCGCACTCAGCAATATTCAAGCTATATGACGGCGGTCTGTAAATAATCGAGTCTGGACAAGACAAGCCAGTGATTGACATCATCGGCATCGATCCACGCGATTGGGATACCATGACATGCATCAACCAAGTCAGCGAGCCTGACCATCTGATCCCGTCAGTCGCCTCTCACGACAAGCATAGTCGTCTCTTCCGGCAAGCATGGGTTGCTGAAGACCTATTCTACCTCAGATCTTCACGGATCTGATAGTTGTGTGACAATGGTGAAAGTGCAATATGTTTTATATGTAAAGCGACATGTTCTTTATACGTCTTGGTGCGTCCCCAATAGTGAGTTATTAACAAAGTAAGCGACATACGAAATGGTACAATGTTCACTGGACAATGCATGATAAGGTAAAGTTAAGAAAAGTTGAACAACACAGGTACTAACCGTACTCTCCATATGTAAAACCAAACATGAAAATTCCAAAAGAAGACGTTGATCATGGATATGCCTGGGCGGTTCTAGCGGCCTGCTTTGCTATTGAGGTTCTCTATGGTGTTTTGATCTGCTCTGTTGGGGTGATAACACCGGCGATTCTGGAAGAAGTTGATGGTGATTTGGTCAAAGTGTCCTGGGTAGGATCAACTGTGATGGGAACATTCACGATGTGTGGTAAGTAGTCCATGAAAGTTTTGATCTTTGGAAAGTGTTTGTTGTTTACTGAAATATACACTGTCTTAGTACGTTTTGCCGTAAGAACAATATGATGAAGAAAATGCGTGGTTTCTTCAATGATGAAATGTTTGAAATACAATTCGGACACTAATCTTGATTAACATTACCTTTCTCTAGCTAGATGTAGCTCGTAATATATGTCTAATGTTATCGAGAGACGAGTCGGGGGTTTCATCTGATGTCTTAGTAACATCACAAGTGAGATCGAACTAATGGGCTTCAAGTTAACCTGCGCAATGATACCTATTTTCAGGACCATTGGTAGGAATTATTCAGGAAAGAATCGGACACAGATGGACGGGAATTGTGGGTGGCATACTAATGCTCGTTGGTCTGACAGCTGCATCCTTCTGTAGAACTGTCACAGGTTTGATCCTCACGTTTGGAGTCATTACCGGTAAGCATTACCGTGTTTTATGTGGAAACTGAGGTGAATGTAACACTTTTACACTTAATTCAAGCAGCGACAAGTGTGAAAATAATGTGTTATGCAATTATAATATTTAAATGTGTATGGAAAATTCAGGTAATATTAAATATATTTACCTATAAGTGATATGTTTGGTTGGAAAGTTTGGGTTAATTAGTTTATTTTTATTGTTGCTTGACGCCGCACTCAGCAATATTACAGCTATGTGACGGTCGCCTGTAAATAATTGAGTCTGGACCAGACAATCCATTGATTGACATCATGAGCATCGATCTATGCAATTGGAATACGATGACATGCATCAACCATGACATGTCGATCCTTAGACTTGTGCTAACCTGGATCTTCACGGGTTTTTATGTAATGTTTTTTTTATATCTGCTTTATTCAGCTACAACTATGTCCCTGATGAAATTTATTAATAGTAAAACGCTTCCTTCTTAAATAAGGTTTTTCAATCTGCTAACATCCATTGTTGTCATTTTCCCTTCACTCTTGAGGAGGTCATCATACCATAAAGTGAATAATTAATTGAGTAGGATTCCCCAAAACGTACAATACAAAACCGCATTAACGCATTGTCCAGATCAGGTCCCATCTTATGACATTCGCTTATTAAAATTAAAAAGAGGTAACTAATCTATTAACTCAATGCTACATACTTTGATGTTACATGTATTCACTCATTCACTGATAGACGTATCTCCGATGCATGTAATTGTGCATCTGTGTCCTCAGGTCTTGGTTGTGGCCTGGCAGCTAATGTTAGTGGCGTGGCTCCCGGCAAGTACTTTCACAAAAGGCTTCCAGTGGCATACGGTATTATCATGTCTGGTGGTGCATTAGGATTACTTGCAGTTGGGCCATTAACAATTCAACTTTTAGACCACTACACTTTATCCGGAACGTTGCTTATGTTGGGTGCGATTGGATTCCATGTCTGCTTAGCTGGAGCTCTAATTAGACCATCGTCTACACTGATGCCAGAGATGCCAGTTTCAAAAGAACTTGACCGCCAAGAATACATAGAGGGGGGTATCGATTCACAAGGAGACGATGCACAGCATAATCCTGTAGATTATGGTGATTTACCTGGAGAAACGGAGACCGACTTTATTGCACAACGAGACGTTAACAATTGTTCCCTAGCCACTTTGCCTGGAGTTGTTAAAGAAAGCGGTTTAAGGGAAGAAAATGCAACGTTTGCACCTTTGCTTGACCACCGATCACATTCGTCAAATAAAAAACCGAAGTGTGGGATGATATCCGAAAGTGTCAGTTTCATCGGCACAAATGGATTTTTCTTCTACCTCCTCAGTATCCTTTTCTGGGCTCTCGCTGAAGCGATATGCATGGTTCATTTACCAAATTATGCCGAATATAAAGGTAGCACACCTGCACAGTCTGCAAGTCTGTTCACTGGAATGGGTGTTACTGCTCTTTTTGCCGGAATGCTGACTGGCTTTGCCTCCTCTGACCAAGATATTGGAAACATTATACTTCATGTTGGACTACAAGGAATGTCAGGGGTGTATGTTATGTTACTCCCCACGTTATCACAAACGTACATCCTCCAAATGGTTTTCAGTGCCCTGTATGGTACGTACAGTCAGGGACCCTATACGTTGGTTAGTCCCATATGCATTGAACTGATAGGTCGATCCAAACTGGCCGTTGGCTATGGCATATGTTCATTTTTCTTTTGACTCAGCTTCATGGTTGGACCACCCATTGCAAGTAAGTAAACCTTGAATTTCTATTTACCAGTGATTGAGCGTTTGGTTATGCTTGACACGATGAGTGAGTGAGTGAGTGAACTTTAACGACACATCGGCAATATTTTAGCCATATCGTGACGAGGAATTTATAATAAATATATAAAGATTGAATAAAAAGCTGTCAGCGATGGATTGACACGATGAGTGTGTGAGTCTCGTCGGCAATATTTCAGCCATATCGTGACGAGGAATTTATAATAAATATATAAAGATTGAATAAAAAGCTGTCAGCGACGGATTGACACGATGAGTGTGTGAGTCTCGTCGGCAATATTTCAGACATATCGTGACGAGGAATTTATAATAAATATATAAAGATTGAATAAAAAGCTGTCAGCGATGGATTGACACGATGAGTGTGTGAGTCTCGTCGGCAATATTTCAGCCATATCGTGACGAGGAATTTATAATAAATATATAAAGATTGAATAAAAAGCTGTCAGCGATGGATAGACACGATGGGTGTGTGAGTCTCGTCGGCAATATTTCAGCCATATCGTGACGAGGAATTTATAATAAATATATAAAGATTGAATAAAAAGCTGTCAGCGATGGATAGACACGATGGGTGTGTGAGTCTCGTCGGCAATATTTCAGACATATCGTGACGAGGAATTTATAATAAATATATAAAGATTGAATAAAAAGCTGTCAGCGATGGATTGACACGATGAGTGTGCGAGTCTCGTCGGCAATATTTCAGCCATATCGTGTCTAATCGACGCGATGAAGTTTTAAAAAGCAATTAATAGCTGGCGAGTATACCCCTTCAATACTGGTGTTCGGCAGTATGAACATATCATGCAATAGTCAAGGGCACAGATGAAACACCCAAACATGCAGTTTATTATAATTATATTATGAGACGTCTTATAGTATTTATTTATCAAAAAAAAAATACTAATCATGTTTTGACATACGTTACCGAAGATGAAAATCTTTGTTTTTCAGGTCTTATTTATGAAAGTACTGGCGTGTATGACTTTACGTTTGTTTTCTCAGGTACGTAATCGTGAGAACGTTATTAAACAAATGTACTTGAGTAAGGAAAATATAAGCATACATTTTCTGTAAATCCGCCAGATCATTATGTTCAAAGAGAAAAAGCAATTAAATGATCAAACATAATAGCCAGGTCAGGTAAATATGTTTTTACAATTAGATGGTTGCCTTTGATATCTGTTTTTCAATCAGTGCTCCACACACAATTAACCTGCAAGAGAGAAAAGGACAAACATTATTTTTGTCTACGACATGTTTTCTTACAGAACTTCCACTGTTGTTGTCTACTTGTTGTATACAAATGTTCACACATGTTCGTTGTTTCAGTGCGGAACGTTTCCTCGTCACCAGTGCCTTCTTTGTTGTCTCCTTGTCGTTATACAAATGTTCATACATGTTCGTTGTTTCAGTGCGGAACGTTTCCTCGTCACCAGTGCCTTCTTTATTGTCTCCTTGTCGTTATACAAATGTTCATACATGTTCGTTGTTTCAGTGCGGAACGTTTCCTCGTCACCAGTGCCTTCTTTGTTGTCTCCTTGTCGTTATACAAATGTTCATACATGTTCGTTGTTTCAGTGCGGAACGTTTCCTCGTCACCAGTGCCTTCTTTGTTGTCTCCTTGTCGTTATACAAATGTTCATACATGTTCGTTGTTTCAGTGCGGAACGTTTCCTCGTCACCAGTGCCTTCTTTGTTGTCTCCTTGTCGTTATACAAATGTTCATACATGTTCGTTGTTTCAGTGCGGAACGTTTCCTCGTCACCAGTGCCTTCTTTATTGTCTCCTTGTCGTTATACAAATGTTCATACATGTTCGTTGTTTCAGTGCGGAACGTTTCCTCGTCACCAGTGCCTTCTTTGTTGTCTCCTTGTCGTTATACAAATGTTCATACATGTTCGTTGTTTCAGTGCGGAACGTTTCCTCGTCACCAGTGCCTTCTTTATTGTCTCCTTGTCGTTATACAAATGTTCATACATGTTCGTTCTTTCGTTGCAGGATGCTGCTACATCATCAGTGCCTTCTTTGGGTTGTGTATTCCATTATCAAAGAAGCTGATATGAAAGTTAGTTTAATCAAATCAGTACCGAAAAGAAATATTGTGTCTTGACATTTTATGACTACATATAGTACATTCTGTAACCTGTTTATTCACTTAAAGTGTCCAATTACAGTTAATAATGTTTGATGTATGATTACACACGTTTTACACAACTAATGTAAATGTTGGGGTCCACTAGCTTGACAAGGCCCGTCACGTAATTATGTTGTTTTGATATGAACAACAACGGTTGTCATATTTGTGAAACAAAAAGGAGGGACAACTAATTTTATTAAATACGTTAACCACGTCGGGATTAAAGCCAGAATAGGACCCGAGTTTATCGGATGAGGCTTCTGGAATGGATTTGATTGTCAGGCTTGGTGACTTGGTTGACGACATGGGGCGTTGCTCATAATATCAATCACCGATTTATTTGATCCACAGAGTCTATTATTTATAGGCTGCAGACATGCACACTATATTTGGTATAATGTTAAGCGCTTGTTTCATTTTATATTCTGTCGTACATTATCATTAAAAAATCCAAATACTTTCATTTTCTCTTATGTGAAATGACTTACCATAAATATAGGACGTGTTCAGACGATAAACAAGTGTGCATAGACTATTTGGAATTGCGTGTTGCCTAACTGGCCAATGAATATAAACCAAATTAAATATTTGAAATGAGAGCGCATAAATCAGTCATGGCGCAATTTGGTTATCACTTTTAATAAGGTATATGCTCAAAGTGGTAACATTATTGCCCCGTTCAATGGATTAATGTGCATTCATCGTTCTTTTTCCTTCTCAGCTCCATGGGAAGTGTGCAACCCAAGCTGCCTGTGAGGCGCTCGAAAGTTAATAATCCTCACGTCCTGCCGGGTACCCATTCACTGCTGGGTGAGCAGAGGCACATTTCGAACAGTCACTTGCCTAAGGATACACCACATGTACTACATGTGCTGAAGACCTAGAAACTCTCAGGATTCAAGCTGCCGAATGCGGTCACCAGTCCAACTATTCTTCGCGACCGACGTTTCTTAACTTTACCTTATCATGCATTGTCCAGTGAACTTTGTACCATTTCGTACTATCGCTTACTTTGTTAATAACTCGCTATTGGGGACGCACAAAGACGTATAACGAACATGTCGCTTTACATGTAAAATATATTGCACTTTCACCATTGTCACACAACTATCAGATCCGTAAAGATCCGAGGTAGAATAGGTCTTCAGCAACCCATGCTAGCCGGAAGAGACGACTATGCTTGTCGTGAGAGTCGACTAACGGGATCGGGTGGTCAGACTCGCTGACTTGGTTCATGCTTGTCATCGTATCCCAACTGCGTAGATCGATGCTCATGATGCCAATCACTGGCTTGTCTTGTCCAGACTCGATTATTTACAGACCGCCGTCATAAAGCTGGAATATTGCTGAGTGTTGGATTAAACAACAATCAAACAAACAAACAAACGCAACTCTCACCACGTTTAACGGAAGGAGAGAGGACTTAGTGAATGAAGCTCATATTTATATACAGTAAACTACGGTTATAACGAACTCAAAGGGACCACTAATTTTAATTCGTTATAACCGTAGTTCGTTATAAGCAAATATACGGAATATATACAGCAAATAGACAGGGCCCCAAAAATAGTTCGTTATGTCCGTCAGTTCGTTATAAGCGTGTTCGTCATAACCGTAGTTTACTGTACGTATGTATACCCGCAACCTGTGGCAGAATCATGTGTAACACAGCTTAACACATGTGATAGGTCCAAACGAAGCTTTCCGTTCCTGAAGCTGTTGTCATCTTATTATAATATCCAGCCAATGACACATGTGGATATCATGCAGCAGTGTCACACCTGGATTAAATATAATTTGCACAGTCCTGTGGAGAAGCACACACTTCCATATCGACGTCATTCGTTCACGACTCTTCCCACAACCGGGCGCCTTGACACACTTTACGGCGGTGATCCACCTATCCACCTATTTATATCTCTGGGTCATCTCGAGGTTACTGTAGTGGATAGCGGTGTGAGAGGTAAGGGTCAACGTTTTATACCACTACATAAAAATCCCGAATATCTTCTTTCTGATATGTACATGGTTGTTCTTGTGTGTATAGGTAACCCGCTATTTAAACAATCACCATTACTAGATGCAAAACAAACCGGTGTATATTGCCTTGCCTACCTCGTCTCTCGCCTCCATTTCACGACAACAATCAGTGTTCTTTCTACTTATGCTGAATATGTTGATTCGGCTTGTGGACATGTAAACATTTTGAGATGTGTCAATGCAACGCATTCGATATGTCTATCCCGGTTTTAACTTAAGGTCATTGGAACGCTCCCACGCTGTTTAATTTTGGGACAAGTTGATCTGTCAATTATCGATATAAAATTCATTGTATGACAAATAAAGTAATATAGTATCCTAAGGGAACACAGGTACACAGTGCACTGGTCATAAGGGTGCATGCGTACTCGTAGGGTTTCTGGTTGGATAACGGGCTTCCCTTCAATATTGAACTGACGCTCCGCGATAGCTGAAATACTGCCAAATGTGGCGTTAATCCCAACTCACTCACGCTGGTTAGATCATTGTTCAAATTCCGATGGTTTCCCACGATATCTTTATGATTGCAATTTCATAAGGAAACAAAATATTAATACAATTTGCGTATTCGACGTAATACGCGCCTACGGCGCTCTTAAAATTAGGAATAGGGGCTCTTAGTAGAATATTATTTTGGAGTAAAAACAAATAGTGGAAAGATAAATTTCGTGGTATGCTGACAGCCTGAAATGTTTATGTACGACAAGTATGTTTTTGCAGAATTTAATTGCCCATAATTAAGGGTGCATATAACACCTGAGTGCGTATTATACGCGAATAAATAATTCTTGTATACATTAATCAATCGGAAGGGGTGCTAATTGGGATTGTTCACTCGGCAATATATTTGCAAATATCGCCGTGGGCGCTTATTAGAGCGGGGCGCTTATTACGTCGAATACGGTATTTGTATAGATCACAATCAAGTAATACCTCGTCCTCAACTGATACACGTTGCTGTTTAAACGATCGTTATGAATATTCCCACCACTCCACTGGAAAGCTTTTGGGAAAACTCAATTTAAACACGTTGATTAAGTTTTGAAATCAACTTCTTAATTTCTTAAAAGAGCAAAAAATACTTGTAAATTATTAATGACAATATTTCGTAATGAACTAGTTCGTCTCTTATCCGTTCAGTTAAACACAATAATATCGATAGTATGCACACAATCTTAACGATGTCAGATGGACAATAACACATAAAACATTCAGTGTATGAAATAGAACGAGGGTAAGTGCCTGTAGTTTATCCTGATTTTGAGATACAATGTTCTTGCAAATAGTCCTTTTTATCGTCAGTCGTCGTCTACTATCTCGAACTATTAATAGCAAATACAGTTACGAGCCCACGGTGAATGCGTTTGTGTAACAATAGTGGTTCATAGAGCTCGGGTTGCACTGCTGTATAAATATAGATTACTGAATGAGACCCCGTTAGATGCCGTTTTTATTACAACCAGTGTATTTCAAAACGTATGTGACGAGCGAAAACGATACGATTTGTAATAAACGGTATCTAACTGGAACGAGTTAGGTAATATATTTATTACTCACTTTAGCATTATCGAACAACGACTTTGAAAGGGTGGAGTAAAAATACAACATCCGTAGCGGATGAAACGACCGTAGACTGTTTTCCCAAGGCCGTAGTCTTTCCGAGATCCGTTATAAGAAACAGCAGTTGGCACAGTATCGTTTCTCGAGCACTCTTCCCTCATGTTAAGTATATTGGACAAATTCATACCAGTACATACCAACTTTTCTGCTCATTGTCTTCCTGTTCTGCTACCATAGCCTCTATGAATTTGTCTGCAGCAGGTTGACCGTGATAGACTACGACTCTTTCCAATGATCGGGGATTAAACCAACGACTGAATGTACGTGTTTGATTATTTTCCCACTGGATGAGGTCGATGGGTTGTTTGGACAGCCGGAAAAGGGGACTTCAAGAGATTGAAATCAGCATAAATGATGTAAGGGGCCTTGAGTTGTTTTCTGACATCTTTGTGAAAGAAGCATGGTTCTCTGCTCTGGGCATTTTGATCTTCTGTGGGACGTGAGATTGGCAGTTGGGGATGTGATCAGCCAGTACTCTCTGATGAGACCGTGGAGGCAATAGGGACAGTGCAATTAATGACGGTGTGCTCTCTGATGAAACCTTGGAGGCAGTAGGGACAGTGCAATTAATGACGGTGTGCTCTCTGATGAAACCTTGGAGGCAGTAGGGACAGTGCAATTAATGACGGTGTGCTCTCTGATGAAACCTTGGAGGCAGTAGGGACAGTGCAATTAATGACGGTGTGCTCTCTGATGAAATCGTGGAGGCAATAGGGACAGTAAATTAATGACGGTGTGCTCTCTGATGAAACCGTGGAGGCAATAGGGACAGTAAATTAATGACGGTGTGCTCTCTGATGAAATCATGGAGGCAATAGGGACAGTAAATTAATGACGGTGTGTTCTCTGATGAAATCATGGAGGCAATAGGGACAGTACAATCAAGGACGGTGTTCTCTCTGATTAAACCGTTGACAGTAAGGACAGTACGATTAATGACGGTGTGCTCTCTGATGAAACCGTGGAGACAGTAGGGACAGTAAATTAATGACGGTGTGCTCTCTGATGAAACCGTGGAGACAGTAGGGACAGTACGATTAATGACGGTGTGCTCTCTGATGAAACCGTGGAGACAGTAGGGACAGTAAATTAATGACGGTGTGCTCTCTGATGAAACCGTGGAGCAGTAGGGACAGTACGATTAATGACGGTGTGCTCTCTGATGAAACCGTGGAGACAGTAGGGACAGTAAATTAATGACGGTGTGCTCTCTGATGAAACCGTGGAGACAGTAGGGACAGTAAATTAATGACGGTGTGCTCTCTGATGAAACCGTGGGGACAGTAGGGACAGTAAATTAATGACGGTGTGCTCTCTGATGAAACCGTGGAGACAGTAGGGACAGTAAATTAATGACGGTGTGCTCTCTGATGAAACCGTGGAGGCAGTAGGGACAGTAAATTAATGACGGTGTGCTCTCTGATGAAACCGTGGAGACAGTAGGGACAGTAAATTAATGACGGTGTGCTCTCTGATGAAACCGTGGAGCAGTAGGGACAGTACGATTAATGACGGTGTGCTCTCTGATGAAACCGTGGAGACAGTAGGGACAGTAAATTAATGACGGTGTGCTCTCTGATGAAACCGTGGAGACAGTAGGGACAGTACGATTAATGACGGTGTGCTCTCTGATGAAACCGTGGAGCAGTAGGGACAGTACGATTAATGACGGTGTGCTCTCTGATGAAACCGTGGAGACAGTAGGGACAGTAAATTAATGACGGTGTGCTCTCTGATGAAACCGTGGAGACAGTAGGGACAGTAAATTAAAGACGGTGTGCTCTCTGATGAAACCGTGGAGACAGTAGGGACAGTAAATTAATGACGGTGTGCTCTCTGATGAAACCGTGGAGACAGTAGGGACAGTAAATTAATGACGGTGTGCTCTCTGATGAAACCGTGGAGGCAGTAGGGACAGTAAATTAATGACGGTGTGCTCTCTGATGAAACCGTGGAGACAGTAGGGACAGTAAATTAATGACGGTGTGCTCTCTGATGAAACCGTGGAGCAGTAGGGACAGTACGATTAATGACGGTGTGCTCTCTGATGAAACCGTGGAGACAGTAGGGACAGTAAATTAATGACGGTGTGCTCTCTGATGAAACCGTGGAGACAGTAGGGACAGTAAATTAATGACGGTGTGCTCTCTGATGAAACCGTGGAGACAGTAGGGACAGTAAATTAATGACGGTGTGCTCTCTGATGACAGTAGGGACAGTAAATTAATGACGGTGTGCTCTCTGATGAAACCGTGGAGGCAGTAGGGACAGTGCAAGTAATGACGGTGTGCATAACTCTTCTGACCAAATAAGAATCTGCTGAGATCCTTGATCCAGCAGTGGGGAGTTTTGTTACTGTCATATCATCAATAAGTCATTGTAACATGGATGGTATACACTTCTCCTTTCTCATGATCAAAAACGGGGCGTTTGGGTAGCCTAGTGGTTAAAGCGTTCACTCGTCACGTCGAAGGCCCGGGTTCGATTCCCCACATGGGTACAATATGTGAAGGCCATTTCTGGTGTCCCTCGCCGTGATATTGCGGGAATATTGCTAAAAGCGGCGTAAAACCATACTCACTCACTTAAAATTAAAAAAAATATTGCCAGATCATATTTTGCCTTTCAAAATTGGGGGATGTCTTCTAGCTTGACGGGGAAGGCGATGTTCGTAAAATGTAGTTTCTGCTCATGTCTTAAAACATTTGACTTCTTGTGTAGGAAAGACAGGGTAAAACCTGTCTGGGCCTTCCCCGGGTATGGTATAAACCTTTACAATCCGTCCCAGAGCTTGCAGATCACACGGCTAATTGTTGTCTCCAACCCTTTAATTTTCTAAAGAGTGTATTGTGCCATTCGATCCGAAATATGTCTTTGACGGAATACTGTATTTATCTACAACTCTGGGAACAATAAAAAAAAAAAAAAATAAAAAAAAAAATAATGGTTGTCTCCATTTGTTGTATGTTCCACCACCACCAACTTGTTGGACTGGAGAGTGTTTAATTTTCATGTGACCTCAGATCATCTCGCCTACTGAAAACGTGACCGCAAGAGAGGGATGGGTAATATTGTTGAGCAAATGTCTTATGTTCATATAAACTCACTCTTGGATGGTTGTCCTTAAGCACACTCTTCATACTTCTCGATAGCTCTCTTAGTCTGCGGTGCCATACTATTCGAAATATGAATAATGATCCTCTGTATCACTTCTATTTTTATTATATCTCCACCACATATAATTGTACATAACATGTTTGAATTTGACTGTATTCGGGTCCATAGCTCATCACTCTGAATAGA